TTATTCGGGAGGGGGAGGGGGAGGGGGAGGGGGGTGGTGAGTAAGCGACAATTATTAGGGAGGGGGAGGAGGAGGAGGTGGGGATGGATTTGTTCACGGACTACATGTTAGTTGTTGCGGGTTTTCGGTATGTTCCAGCGCGTCAACATCAATATCCTCCTCAATATTTCCGATTACATACATTACTATTACACACACTATTATACCGGCACTGATCACCAGTATGTATCCTACCGAGTATATGGAATACTACTTTTACAGTGAAAATTAAAACCTTATTAACTTTTAACTTTATCTCTCAAGTCAATACCAATAGCATCTCCTAAATTAACATAAACGTGTGCGGTGTTCCATCATTTTCGGAGCTAATAATGTATAACACAGGGTAGGAATGGAGTTCCACTTACTAAGTATAAACAGGCCAACATCTCCTTCCCAACAATGTTTTATATCTTATACTACAAGTGGGTCAAGTCTAGTTTTGAAAATGCCAATAGGAACCAACAGAAATACTTCTTGATCTGAAATTTACAAAAAATGGGGCTATTGAGATGTTTTGGGCAATCGTCAAATAGATTGCAAATGTTTTAGTTTTTATAGATTTAGGTCTGTGATTAAAAGAAGCCTTTTGCCATTTTCGAAGATGATCAAAATTAGATATATATCTTAAATTTCTATCAATGTTAAAATTAATTCTAAAAATGCATTTTCTGACTTAATATTGTTTAGCTTATGCTTATAATCATAGTGGACTAATAGAGAAAAAGAAAACTTCATTTCTATTTTAAATTTTAAAACCATTGTGAAATAAGTAGGCCTATTTCAATTTATGATAAACACTCTTGTTGGCCCGGATGTTAGCGCACGATGGGTCTTAATATGGGAGTAAACTGGAGTACCCTGGAAAGTGAATCGGGCACGTGAATCCAATATCTTTGTACGTCTGATCGGGGAATCGGAATCGAACCCCGGACGTCTTGGTGAAAGGCTGGTGTTATCCATAGCGCCACCCGATTACTCAAAAAACGCACTGCATATATCCACAGTGTATCGAAATGGGTACGACATTTATAGCAAGTGGACCAAAGTAGGTACCGCAACCACAGTGGACTAAAGTAGGTACCATATCTACAGTGGACCAAAGTAGGTACCATATCTACAGTGGACAAAGGTAGGTACCATATCTACAATGGACCAAAGTAGGTACCATATCTACTGTGGACCAAAGTAGGTACCATATCTACAGTGGATCAAAGTAGGTACCATATCTAAAGTGGACCAAAGTAGGAACCATATCTACAGTGGACCAAAGTAGGTACCATATCCACAGTGGACCAAAGTAGGTACCATATCTACAGTGGACTAAAGAAGGTACCATATCTACAGTGGACCAAAGAAGGTACCATATCTACAGTGGACCAAAGTAGGTACATGTACCATATCTACAGTGGCCCAAAGTAGGTACCATATCTAAAGTGGACCAAAGTAGGAACCATATCTACAGTGGACCAAAGTAGGTACCATATCTACAGTGGATCAAAGTAGGTACCATATCTAAAGTGGACCAAAGTAGGTACCATATCTACAGTGACCGCAACCACAGTGGACCAAAGTAGGTACCATATCTACAGTGGACTAAAGAAGGTACCATATCTACAGTGGACCAAAGTAGGTACCACATCTACAGTGGACCAAAGAAGGTACCGCAACCACAGTGGACTAAAGTAGGTACCATATCTACAGTGGACCAAAGTAGGTACCACGTCTACAGTGGACCAAAGTAGGTACCATATCTAAAGTGGACCAAAGTAGGAACAACATCCACAGTGGACCAAAGTAGGTACCATATCCACAGTGGACCAAAGGAGGTACCATATCTACAGTGGACCAACGTAGGTACCATATCTACAGTGGACCAAAGTAGGTACCACATCTACAGTGGACCAAAGAAGGTACCGCAACCACAGTGGACTAAAGTAGGTACCATATCAATAGTGGACCAAAGCAGGTACCATATCTAAAGTGGACCAAAGTAGGTACCATATCCACAGTGGACCAAAGTAGGTACCATATCTACAGTGGACCAACGTAGGTACCATATCTACAGTGGACCAAAGTAGGTACCATATCTACAGTGGACCAAAGTAGGTACCATATCTAAAGTGGACCAAAGTAGGTACCACATCTACAGTGGACCAAAGTAGGTACAATATCTACAGTGGACCAAAATAGGTACCATATCTAAAGTGGACCAAAGTAGGTAACACATCCACAGTGGACCAAAGTAGGTACCACATCTACAGTGGACCAAAGTAGGTACCACATCTACAGTAGACCAACGTAGGTACCACATCCACAGTGGACCAAAGTAGGTACCACATCCACAGTGGACCAAAGTAGATACGACATCCACAGTGGACCAACGTAGTTATGACATCTACAGTGGACCAAAGTAGGTACCACATCCACAGTGGACCAAAGTAGGTACGACATCTACAGTGGACCAAAGTAGATACGACATCAACAGTGGACCAACGTAGTTATGACATCTACAGTGGACCAAAGTAGGTACCACATCCACAGTGGACCAAAGTAGATACGACATCCACAGTTGACCAAAGTAGATACGACATCCACAGTGGACCAAAGTAGGTACGACATCTACAGTGGACCAAAGTAGGTACGACATCGACAGTGGACCAAAGTAGGTACCGCATCCACAGTGGACCAATGTAGGTACATCCTTACAACAGTAGATCTAACGACTTTTATTCACGGTAAGTTTGGCTTATGTAATGCGAAAAATAGGAATTTGGAAAAACTTAAAAGTAGTCCCATAAGAAACAACGTTCATACTAATATTGACAGACATTACAGAACTCGCAACAAAACACTAAATTAAATTTTGAATTGTTCAGTCTTGCAATGCTTTAATACATAACAATATTCATAGTAATGTACTACATCGTACTATACTACAACATAATCTATGTATATACGTATAGATTAGTCCGTAACAAAGTGTGGAAGACGACAAACAGTCTATTTACAGTAGTTGTAATTCGTGTACAAAATCTGAAGTGATACTGATGTAGATGGTAGTGATGATGTGATAACTGAACCAAACACAGTTTTTATATACAAAGAGTAGCTTATGCATCTCCTATTCATCCGAAGTCGCATGTTTGCAGGATTCAGTCAATGGGACTTAACTGTGGATGCCGTCTGTAGTGGTTCTGTGATTTCTATGTGTTATTATGTAACTGTGGATGCCGTCTGTAGTGGTTCTGTGATTTCTATATGTTATTATGTAACTGTTGATGCCGTCTGTAGTGGTTCTGTGATTTCTATATGTTATTATGTAACTTTTGATGCCGTCTGTAGTGGTTCTGTGATTTCTATATGTTATTATGTAACTTTTGATGCCGTCTGTAGTGGTTCTGTGATTTCTATATGTTATTATGTAACTTTTGATGCCGTCTGTAGTGGTTCTGTGATTTCTATATGTTATTATGTAACTTTTGATGCCGTCTGTAGTGGTTCTGTGATTTCTATATGTTATTATGTAACTTTTGATGCCGTCTGTAGTGGTTCTGTGATTTCTATATGTTATTATGTAACTTTTGATGCCGTCTGTAGTGGTTCTGTGATTTCTATATGTTATTATGTAACTTTTGATGCCGTCTGTAGTGGTTCTGTGATTTCTATATGTTATTATGTAACTTTTGATGCCGTCTGTAGTGGTTCTGTGATTTCTATATGTTATTATGTAACTTTTGATGCCGTCTGTAGTGGTTCTGTGATTTCTATATGTTATTATGTAACTTTTGATGCCGTCTGTAGTGGTTCTGTGATTTCTATATGTTATTATGTAACTTTTGATGCCGTCTGTAGTGGTTCTGTGATTTCTATATGTTATTATGTAACTTTTGATGCCGTCTGTAGTGGTTCTGTGATTTCTATATGTTATTATGTAACTTTTGATGCCGTCTGTAGTGGTTCTGTGATTTCTATATGTTATTATGTAACTTTTGATGCCGTCTGTAGTGGTTCTGTGATTTCTATATGTTATTATGTAACTTTTGATGCCGTCTGTAGTGGTTCTGTGATTTCTATATGTTATTATGTAACTTTTGATGCCGTCTGTAGTGGTTCTGTGATTTCTATATGTTATTATGTAACTTTTGATGCCGTCTGTAGTGGTTCTGTGATTTCTATATGTTATTATGTAACTTTTGATGCCGCCTGTAGTGGTTCTGTGATTTCTATATGTTATTATGTAACTTTTGATGCCGCCTGTAGTGGTTCTGTGATTTCTATATGTTATTATGTAACTTTTGATGCCGCCTGTAGTGGTTCTGTGATTTCTATATGTTATTATGTACAGCATGGTTCTGTATCTAATGTTACAGACAGGGTTCGTCGATTGTTCCATAGCAGTAGGCGTGATATTCTACTACAGCTGGAAGGTAAGGATTACAACATAAATGTGAAACTTATAACTTACACAAAATAACTGCGATCTCTTCATGTTTAAAAAAAATCACCGGAACTTAAACTTATATACAAGTAGTCGTGATTATTATAATGTTATACCATGTCATTGTGTATATGTATTATAATGTGTTATCACGCTATTGTCTATGTGTATCATAATGTGTTATCACGGTATTGTCTATGTGTATCATAATGTGTTATCACGCTATTGTATATGTGTATCATAATGTGTTATCACGGTATTGTCTATATGTATCATAATGTGTTATCACGGTATTGTCTATGTGTATTATAATGTGTCATCACGCTATTGTCTATTTGTATTATAATGTTATACCATGTCATTGTCTATGTGTATTATAATGCTATTGTCTATTTGTATTATAATGTGTTATAATGCTATTGTCTATGTGTATTATAATGCTATTGTCTATTTGTATTTAAATGTGTTATCACGCTGTTGTCTATTTGTATTATAATGTGTTATCACGCTATTGTCTACATGTATTGTAATGTGATATCACGCTATTTTCTATGTGTAGTATAATGCTATTGTCTATTTGTATTATAATGTGTTATAATGCTATTGCCTATTTGTATTATAATGTGTTATTACGCTATTGTCTATATGCATTGTAATGTGTTATCACGCTATTGTCTATGTGTATTATAATGTGTTATTACGCCATTGTCTATATGTATTGTAATGTGTTATCACTCTATTGTCTATGTGTATTAAAATGTGTTATAATGCTATTGCCTATTTGTATTATAATGTGTTATTACGCTATTGTCTATATGTATTGTAATGTGTTATCACGCTATTGTCTATGTGTATTATAATGCTATTGTCTATTTGTATTATAATGTATTATAATGCTATTGCCTATTTGTACTATAATGTGTTATTACGCTATTGTCTATATGTATTGTAATGTGTTATCACGCTATTGTCTATGTGTATTATAATGTTATTGCCTATTTGTATTATAATGTGTTATCACGCAATTGTCTTTTTGTATTATAATGTGTTATCACGCTATTGTCTATTTGTATTATAATGTTTTATCACTCTATTGTCTATGTGTATTATAATGTGTTATTATAATGCTATTGTCTATTTGTATTATAATGTGTTATCACTCTATTGTCTATGTGTATTATAATGTGTTATTATAATGCTATTGTCTATTTGTATTATAATGTATTATAATGCTATTGCCTATTTGTACTATAATGTGTTATTACGCTATTGTCTATATGCATTGTAATGTGTTATCACGCTATTGTCTATGTGTATTATTATGTGTTATCACGCTATTGTCTATGTGTATTATTATGTGTTATCACGCTATTGTCTATGTGTATTATAATGATATTGCCTATTTGTATTATAATGTGTTATCACGCTTTTGTCTATTTGTATTATGATGTGTTATCACGCTTTTGTCTAGTTGTATTATAATGTGTTATCACGCTTTTGTCTATTTGTATTATAATGTGTTATCACGCTTTTGTCTATTTGCATTATGATGTGTTATCACGCTATTGTCTATTTGTATTATAATGTGTTATAATGCTATTGCCTATTTGTATTATAATGTGTTATCACGCTTTTGTCTATTTGTATTATGATGTGTTATCACGCTATTGTCTAGTTGTATTATAATGTGTTATCACGCTTTTGTCTATTTGAATTATGATGTGTTATCACGCTATTGTCTATTTGTATTATAATGTGTTATCACGCTTTTGTCTATTTGTATTATAATGTGTTATCACGCTTTTGTCTATTTGCATTATGATGTGTTATCACGCTATTGTCTATTTGTATTATAATGTGTTATCACGCTTTTGTCTATTTGTATTATGATGTGTTATCACGCTATTGTCTAGTTGTATTCTAATGTGTTATCACGCTTTTGTCTATTTGAATTATAATGTGTTATCACGCTATTGTCTATTTGTATTACAATGTGTTATCACGCTATTGTCTATTTGTATTATAATGTGTTATCACGCTATTGTCTATGTGTATTATAATGTGTTATCACGCTATTTTCTATGTGTATTATAATGTGTTATAATGCTATTGTCTATGTGTATTATAATACTATTGTCTATGTGTATTATAATGTGTTATCACGCTATTGTCTATGTGTATTATAATGCCTTTTTCCATTTCACACCCAGTATCAACCCGAGACTGCAATATCAGCCCAAGGGCTGGGTGTGGTATGGAAAAAGGCATGTTTTATTCTTTTTATTACATACTTACTTATAAAAGCTACTTTCTTATGATCTTTTTTTTTTTAAATATCGAAAAACGAAAAATTTCCAAAAGGGGTGTGATACGGTTTTTGTGGGCTGATACGGGTTTTGGGGTGTGATACGGCGTTTGTGTATATGTATCATAATGTGATATCAAGCCATTGTTTAAATGTCCACTTTGAATAATACAGTGCACTGTTTATGTTCTTTTCATAGCAAAGCAGGATGCGTTGCTTCACAGAGTATCGCAGATATCGCAGAGTATCGCAGAGTATCACAGAGTATCGCAGATATCGCAAGATCATGGGGGGCATGACAAATTGAAGGAAAAACTGGAAGGTGTGTGAGTATGGACAGCTACCAATAATAAAGCAATATTACCGATCATTCCTTTTATATAGCAATAATATAAATCATATCACAGTTTTACCCATCGTAAAATATTACTTATGCTATAACAATCTGGCTAATTATATCACAATGTTACCAATCATATAACAATGTTTATTTTTATATAACAATGTTACTAACTGTATAATAATGTGAGTAATTATATCACAATGTTACTAATTATATAATAATGTGAGTAATTATATCACAATGTTACTAATTATATAATAATGTGAGTAATTATATCACAATATTACAAATTATATAACAATGTGACTAGTTATATCACGATGTTACTAATTATATAACAATGATACCAATCACATAATAATGTGACTAGTTATATCACAATATTACAAATTATATAACAATGATACCAATTGTATAAAAATGTAACTAGTTATATCGCAATATTACAAACTATATAACAATGATACCAATCATATAACAATGTGACTAGTTATATCACGATGTTACTAATGATATCACAATGTTACCAATTATATAAAAATACGACTAGTTATATCGCAATATTACAAACTATATAACAAGGATACCAATCACATAACAATGTGACTAGTTTATAACAATGTTAGTAATTGTATAACAATGATACCAATCATATACAAATGTGACTAGTTATATAACAATGTTAGTAATTATATAACAATGATACCAATTACATAACAATGTGACTAGTTATATAACAATGTTAGTAATTATATAACATTGATACCAATCATATAACAATGTGACGAATTATATAACAATTTTACTAATCATATAGCTACAATAACAATATATAACAATTTTACCTAGCATATAACCGTTAACTATTATACAACAATGCTACTTATTATATTACAATGTTACTAATCATATATTGCAGTACTAGGAATTATTAAACAATACTATCAATCAAATGACAGTACTGACGTCATCAAGTTTCCTTACCCCAAGAGCAATAAATGTTTATTTATATTGTAATATATACCAGTAAAACAACAATACAGTTGATCAGGGTGATGTGCCTATTTAGTGAGCTTAGTCACCCAGAACTCACGTGTGATTTATAAAGGAACATCGATTGAGAGAAATATGACTGGGGATACTCGAGTTCGAGACGGCACACACCATTTTCTCGTCACATGATCAATATCATCCAACCAGATAGGTTGTAACACACAAGAAGTATAATAGTGTACCCCTTCATACAGGAATGTGTATTTACCTCCACAGGTGCAGTGTGTAGTGTATGCCTTTTCAGAACCGAAATGACGTTCACCTTTCCTTTGTCGACAGAATCAGAAAAGGAGCTCAAGCACAGACTGGAAAAGGGACAAAAACACGAGAGGAAACTTGAGACAGATTTGCAAGAATTGACCAATCAAATCCATCAGCTCGACTTGGAAGTTGTCCGTCTTAAAATGGGCAACCAGCAACTAACCAACGACAAGTCCCGTCTGTCTCACCAGCTCGACGAGTTACGAGGTTTTATCCATTCGTGTATTGCCATAAAAAATATAATGATTATAGCGATTGCTCTTCGAGTAATGTATTGAGCGTTTTTCTGTGTATTAATGCATCGAACGGTCCAGTTGACTTTTTATGTATAATTTGAAAAGTGTTACTCCTGGGCCCGTAGTCATGACACCATTCTCATGCTCAAGCAGGGATTTTGTGCTCCAACCAGCTTTCTTGTGACTTACTTAAATCATGTCAAACGATCAACAAGTTAAAATGTAATGATTGAAAACAGTACTTGGCTTTAGGTCTCTTCAAATGTTTTCCAAATCAATGACAAAATAAGAGTTTATTATTTATTTATAACTGGAACAAGAAATCATGCTTGAGAGCAAAATTCATGCTTCAGTATGAAAACGGTTTCATGAATACGGGCCCTAGTTTTGATTGTAAAAATAGAAATGATTTAATGATTTGATTGATTTAAGGGCAACAAAAGATACGTTGATATTTACATTCTTTATTGACATTCACACAATACAAATGTAACGACTGTTTTCGCAAACTGGAGTTATCATCTCATGACTAAAGGCACGTGACAAGTTTCCATGATGTTGACAACATGTGGGCGGAGCTATGCAAATTTTCCGCAAACGAGACACAACTGTGTGACGTCATTAACAGTTCATGCCGCCATTCCTATTGAACTTTAAATCACACGTTGATAATTTTTGAAACGAAATTTGTGTCTGTTGATCAGATTTTTTAATCAAACAGACTGTTATTGAAGGAATAGTTTTCTATTTCGGTCTGGTTATGAGGTGATAACTCAAGGTTAAATTTATCACATATTTCTTCGCCATCTATTTATCACCTCAAACCACACCAAAATAGAAAACTGTTCTTTAAATAACTATGTTTGTTTGAAATCAAATTATGTTTAAGTTTTGCTTACATTTCTTGCTGTTAATGTAAACCAGGCAATTGAAAGGTTATATGAAGATTATACAGTACATACTCCTCTTGTTTCCTTTAAGTATCAGTCAAAACGCATCAAATCAAGAATGACAACGTTAGATAAAAGGGTAAAAATAACACTTTACTAGTATATACTTGAGTATAGTCCATCGCGACGGTTTCTCTTTTGATCATTGCAATATCCACTTTTTCGAGCATTTAATCATTGCTGATTGTTTTTGTAGTCTACATTGCTGATTGTTTTTGTAGTCTACATTGCTGATTGTTTTTGTTGTCTATATTGCTGATTGTTTTTGTAGTCTACATTGCTGATTGTTTTTGTTGTCTATATTGCTGATTGTTTTTGTAGTCTACATTGCTGATTGTTTTTGTAGTCTACATTGCTGATTGTTTTTGTAGTCTACATTGCTGATTTGGTAATGAAAGTACAAAGTTGTTTAAGAACACAATTAAGTTCCCCTTGTCGTTAAATATTTCCAGTGATCACTATGTCTAACTGTCCCCGTCCATAGATTTACTTGTCTGTCCACGTCCATAGATATTATTATCTGTCCACGTCCATAGCGCTATTTGTCTGTCCACGTCTATAGAGCTACTTGTCTGTCCGCGTCCATAGAGATTATTGTCTGTCCGCGTTCAAAGAGCTTATTGTCTGTCCACGTCCATAGAGGTTATTGTCTGTTCGCGTCCAAAAAGATTATTGTCTGTCCATGTCCAAAAAGCTATTTGTCTGTCCCCGTCCATATAGCTACTTGTCTGTCCACGTACATAGATATACTTGTCTGTCCACGTCCATAGCGCTACTTGTCTGTCCACTTCCATAGCGCTACTTGTCTGTCCACGTACATAGATATACTTGTCTGTCCACGTCCATAGCGCTACTTGTCTGTCCACGTCCATAGAGCTACTTGTCTGTCCGCGTCCATAAAGATTATTGTCTGTCCACGTCCATAGCGATACTTGTCTGTCCACGTCTATATAGCTTATTGTCTGTCCACGTCCATAGAGATTATTGTCTGTCCACGTCCATAAAGATTATTGTCTGTCCACGTCCACGTCCATAGCGATACTTGTCTGTCCACGTCTATATAGCTTATTGTCTGTCCACGTCCATAGAGATTATTGTCTGTCCACGTTCATAGAGATTATTGTCTGTCCACGTCCATAGAGCTACTTGTCTGTCGCGTCCATAAAGATTATTGTCTGTCCACGTCCATATCGCTACTTGTCTGTCCACGTCTATAGCGCTACTCGTCAGTCCACGTCCATAGAGATTATTGTCTGTCCACGTCCATAGAGCTACTTGTCTGTCGCGTCCATAAAGATTATTGTCTGTCCACGTCCATAGCGCTACTTGTCAGTCCACGTCCATAGAGATTATTGTCTGTACACGTCCATATAGATTATTGTCTGTCCCCGTCCATAGATCTTATTGTCTGTCCACGTCCATATAGCTTATTGTCTGTCCACGTCCATAGAGATTATTGTCTGTCCACGTTCATAGAGATTATTGTCTGTCCACGTCCATAGAGATAATTGTTTGTCTACGTCCATAGAGATTATTGTCTGTTCGCGTTCATAGAGCCTATTTTAGTCCACCGCCATAGAGCACAGTGCCTGTCCTCAAATTTTGTTTTAATGGTAGGTTGGGTGGCTTTCTAACAAGTCTGATGAGCACTATTGAAGGCGCAACATAACTGGTCAGAGAGAGACTTGATATGCTATTGCTTTTCTGTAAAATATGTATAATATAGTATCCGTACATGTCTATCGGGTGTATTTGAGAAGCATTTAAAATTTAAATATTATTGACGAACGTTCACTGGCAAGTTGGGGTGTATTGTCATGGCCAAATTGCTGTAAGGAAATATTTCATAAGGCGGGTTTTAATTATAGCGCAAATGAACACAATATCTACGTTCTTCTATTGTGTGTTTCAGAATCTCTTAAAGAAAGCAAGCATAGCATATTTGTGTTGGAAAAACATAAAGCCGAGTTAAAGAAAAATTGTAATACACACAATGATCGCATCCGAGAATACGAGCGCAGCCTGGAAAAGTCTGATCTAGACAGAGGCCGACTTAAAGGTGGGTGATGACTATCAGGTCGATACATAAAAATATGTCGACCTCGAAATAAGTCCGTAATTGATAATTAAGTTTCGACTTTGTCAGAAATAATATGTTTACATATACTGTACCCTGGCTTACTATACTTCATTATGTACTGCCGACAAAAATTTAAGAAAGATTTCAGATAAAATTTAATATTGAACAGCATGTTTTCGACTGTCGAATGATATTCCTCAAAACGCATATCTTTTTCTTCAATCGTCACCTGAAGGCCTTCTGGAGACAAACGAGGAGTTGGTACAGAAACATACAAAGGACCGGGGAAAACTGTTGGTGAGTGAACAAATTGGCATTGATCACACTGATAGCAGACTAGTTAATAATTAATTGTTCTCGTGTCTAAGTGTAAAAACACTGAATCGATAGGGAACAAAATGTATTTATTTACGGTATGCTACCGCCAAAAGAAAACCCCTCGTGTATTGATATTGCTGAAGTGTGTATTCAATATTGTGTGATAAGTCCTAAAATGGAATTGTCCTACATCGTCTTGAACATTGACATTTTTTTTGTATAATGTATTCATTTAACCCATATGCTGTACTGCGTTCGGAAATAGAAAGCTTATAACTTGAGCACTGTCGTAAGGAGACATACTTACCATGACCATGTTTAGTCAGGTAAAAGGGTACGCTACGTAACTCAGCCATGTCACAGATAAGGAGATGTAATAGAAGCATCATTAGTTTAGTTAGAACGCAGGCATATCTTCCTATATGTTCTGATTATAGTCCATATATATTTAATCATAATAAATAACAATGTTTTTGATGTGACGTCACTCCAATGTTGTTGTGAATCTCCTTTCATCACTTTCCAAAAACCTGTCAATGCAGTTTTCAAAAGTGATCAGATTTGGTACTATAAAGTTTCCTCAGATAAATGCCATTGACCTACTTTAAAGGTCAAAGGGGTCAAATATGTAAAACCATTTAAACAACTCCTTCTGAATAACCGGATGGCTAAGAGTAATGATAGTTGGCCTTTGTGTACCTGGCATGAACTGCTATAAACTTTCCTCAAATAAATGACCTTGACTTACTTTCAAGATCGCAAGGGTCAAATGTGTTAAAAACCTTTATACAACTACTTCTAAAGAACCAAAAGTCATAGAGCAATGACATTTGGCCATTCGGTACCCGAGACAGTGTGTACATTTCTTTCAAATAAGTTACATTGACCTACTTTCAATGTCACAGGAGTCAAAACCTATGTAATTAAAAACTATGTAAAAACTTGTAAAAACTACTTAATAACCAGGAGACCAAAATCAGTGATTTTTGTCCAGTAGGTATCTGGCATGATGTTCTACAAATTTTCCTTAAATACATGACTTTGACCTCCTTTTAAGGTCACAGGCATCAAATATAAACTTTTCTGATAGCAATGCTATTTGGTACCTGGGATGTAGTGCTATGAAGTTTCGTCAACTAGATGGCCTTGACATAAGTTAAGGTCACATTGGTGAAATATATTGAGAGCTTCGAGTGTCTTCTTCTAAATAACTAAGATACATATAGTGATAATACTTGGTCAAAATGAAATTTGGATGGAGCAGTAAAAGCTTACCTAAAATAACTAACCTTGATCTCTTTTCAAGGGCACAGGCATTAAATATATATATAAAAAAAAAACTTCTTTCGAATAACAAGGCAGCCCAAGGCACTGATAGTTGCCCAGAAGGTACCTGGCATGGACTGCTATAGACTTCCCAAAATAAATGACCTTGACCTACTTCCAAGGTTGAAGCCGTCAAATGTGTAAAAACCTTTAAACAATACTTTTATTGATCATAATCAAACTTTAGGCTGGTATTTTCGTTAAAAGATAATGACACGCAAGTTTGAATGTAACAAGTTAATGTCAGGTGAGTATTTCCGTTACAAATAAATAACAGGCTAGTATTCTCGTTAACAAGTAAATAGCAGGTAAGTATTAAAACAAGCTAATGACAGGTTAGTGTTCTTGTGATTAATAAATGGCAGGTAAGTGTTCTCGTAATAAATTAATGGCAGGTAAGTGTTTTCGAAACAAATTAACGACAGGTAAGTGTTCTCGTGATAAATTAATGATAGGTAAGTGTTCTCGTGATAAATCAATGGTATGCAAGTGTTCTCGTGACAAATTAAGGGCAGGTAAGGGTTCTCGAGACAAATTAACGGCATGTAAGTGTTCTCGTAATAAATCAATGGTATGCCAGTGTTCTCGTGATATAGTAATGGTATGTAAGTGTTCTCGTGATAAATAATGGTATGTAAGTGTTCTCGTGATAAATTAATGGCAGGAAAGAGTTCCCGTAATAAATTAATGGCAGGTAAATGTTCTCGAGAGAAATTAACGACAGGTAAGTGTTCTCGTGATTAATTAATGATAAATAAGTGTTCTCGTGATAAATCAATGGTATGTATGTGTTCTCGTGATAAATTGATGGCAGCTAAGTGTTTTCGTAACAAGCTCATTAAAAGTCTGGCAAGCATTCTCGTTACAAGTTAATAGCACGTTAGAAACCTTGTTAAACTAATAAAAGACACGATAGTGCTCTCACAAACATATCACTCTTATAAATGCCGTTTATACGTGTGATATAATGTCGTCAGGTGTACATGAAGAAGCGTGCGAGCCACCAAGAGGAACAGATGCGACTGCTAAGGGAACAGTTCCGGCGGAGGTTAGCGCAGGCGTACAAGGACCGCAATGGTAAGCGATGTGTCCTTAGCACCAGGGAAACGGCCTTTTATCATATTGCCAGCTCCAATGCATATCGGCTTACCACTGTACATTGTCTCATTAAAGATGACCGAATGAACGAATAATCATAATTTCGTCTTAGTGTCAAATGTTTCCGATCTCCCGTCACTTGCACCCTTTTTTGGGGGGATTTCCCTGTATCTGCTGATTATTTGTTCATTTTATCCAATAAGTCTTGTGTTGAGCTGGTTTAGTTGGTAAAGGTGTCAGCATCGTTAAAAAAACCCACGTAAAATCGTTTGCCTGATTGCTACCGTTGCTGACCTCTGACCTGAAGCGAGTTTTTTTAATCAATTTCTCAACAGAAAGGATACGTGTAATCTGTACGTCTTTTTATTGTAGGAAATGCTGTTATTCGACTGACAGCCGACAGTGTATTTCACTATATTAACGGTACATTAATCGGTTTTTGTTCTTCAGCCGATAAAGCGTTGACGTTCACGACTAACAGCAACGAGAAACTGGTGACGCGTCTAATGGAGGCGGAGTTTAAAGTGTATCGGCGGGAGCGCCTCGTGGAAGTACTGGCGGATCGGCTCCGCCAATACGAGGACGACTTTGACGTGGTAACGGCGCCTGAATGTGCGCCTTACTTGGACGGGGACTACAAGGGTACCACTAGAGCCGACCTGACGAGAAGTGAGTTCGTTCCGACAGTTAAAGAACAGAGTTATATAATAACGTCTGACAATTCAATTCCCAAAGTTACAGGGCATTCTACCTTCCTCCGAAATAGTTTTTGTCTTAAACAGATTAGGTTAATACAATTGGTGAGATGACTGATGATGATGATGAGAATGAGGATTTGTGGTTGGGTGAGTGGTGCATGTGTGTTCATGTGCTAATCTCATATATCCCGTAAAATGTTTGAAATAAACCCCCAAAAACGAAAAAACCCAACTAAGGAGTAGGCTAATAGTTAAGTATCCAATAGGCGAGTCAATATAAATACAATACATTACACTAAATCTTTACTGGAGGTAATCCAGTCTAAGTTCTGTCTAAAATGTTAGCAACACTTAACGTTTCTGTAGCGGCTGAAGCATCTAGGACAAATTAGATTATGACGTCAGGTTTCCTATCTACTTGTCGGTGGAAATCTGACAATATATATGCCTTTTTTTATGATCAGAGATAACTGACCATAAACAGGTGACAAGTGAGAATTCTGAAGTCTGCGATAATGACAAATTTCATGGATTAAAGTAAACTTACATATATCAAGAAAAAACGAGGACAGCGCGCTAAAGTTTGATTTTATCATAGTAATAACTAGTACTTGTCATTGAGATACTTTTTTACGCTCTGTAGTTATCGTTTACCGACAACTTCTGGTTAATGCTATCCGGGTAGATGTGAGAACAACTCTTGCTGCTTATATCATGATGTGACTTACAAAACCCACAATGACAAGCAGCATGTGTAACTTAATCGACTGTGGCGTCACAGAGAACAGGTCTGTGGCATCACAAATCAGAAAACCAGAAAAAGTAAAAATGGTGACTTTCGTCTCTCCTTTTTTTGGTCATAAAAGTGTGACAAAATGCGTTGTTTTAGATGATTGGTATGTAATTTGTTGGCAATAGAAAGCATTTGATTGAATCATTGTATACGTTCCATATATATTACAAGTCTTGGACAATATAGGGTTCATCGTTGTAGTTTATTCTACCAATCAAGTTGGACGTGATGCGGTGAATTGTAGTTAACATGTGATTCAAAAATAATGAAGGAGTCCTTTTCCTATCCGCCTTGTATCATTGAACCTTCATGTACCATCCCCGGAATCAGTTCCTAAATAATTTAAAAAACTGACCTGTTATGCTTGCTTCAGCCTCCTTTTCGATCTTGGGTCGCAGTAAATTGCTCATCCCCCTATAACAATGAAAGAATAAAACCATTTTAAAGTTACGATGTCCACATGTGTGTGTGTGTGTGTGTGTGTGTGGTGGCGGGGGGGTGGGGGGGGGATGGGTAATGTTTACGACCGGATCAAAGCTGCGTTTGTTATACCCCGAATCTCTAATACTCCGTATCTCTGAATACCATTTTGTCACGTATTCTACTCCGTAGCACTGAATACCAATCTGTCACGGATTCTACTCCGTAATTCTGAATATCAATCTGTCACGGATTCTACTCCGTATCTCTGAATATCAATCTGTCACGGATTCTACTCCGTATTTCTGATTACCAATTTGTCACGGATTCTACTCCGTATCTCTGAATATCAATCTGTCACGGATTCTACTTCGTATTTCTGAATATCAATCTGTCGCAGATTCTACTTCGTATCTCTGAATATCAATCTGTCACGGATTCTACTTCGTATCTCTGAATATCAATCTGTCACGGATTCTACTCCGTATCTCTGAATATCAATCTGTCACGGATTCTACTTCGTATTTCTGAATACCAATCTGTCACGTATTCTTCTCCGTCTCACTGAATATCAATCTGTCACGGATTCTACTCCGTATCACTAAACAGCAATCTGTGATTCTACGCCTCGTCTTTAAATATACAACATCTTCATTATGCCAGAGGTTAATCTTATTTACGTTCTCTGCACGGAGAAGATAGGAAAGCGTACCCCTTGGAACTTGAGGATGTTTATACGAGTGAATTTTAATTTTCGCCGCTTCTCTAAATACCGATTAATGTAATGCCTCGGTTCTATATGGCGGATTCTATAATGCGTTTTTTTGGTCTAGACCGTCGTTATTCGTCTAAAATAGTCTTCTACGATGCATATTTTATCGTGATTTTCCTCATCGCTTGATTTATCAGACAAGTCATAGTGCTAGTAGCATTCTTAAATCCCAACCTCTCACACTGATCAAATAACAACATTCATTTACTCACACTATTCGCTTGATACCTGCTGATACGTGTCCGAAGTTTTACTAATTTACTACGTAATCATGGAACAAATGTTTATCATACGTTTGCTATATATACCATGTATAGGGTGTTAAATATCACCGATAAGTATTGGTGGTATCACATTACAAGACACGACATCCCGCCAACATTGATGGCTGATTACCTGGTATACTAATTGCCTGTTAAGATTACAAGTATTCTCTGCCCTTTCTCCCCGTACTTATTAGCGGAGAAGAAAGTGGAAGGGCAGTGCTGTATCAAGTATACCATATGTTTGTACTTAACGCAAAAGACATGTGACACTTTGTATAAAAATATTATTTTGTATTGTATTATAACATCGTGTATATATACAGTCATATGACAGAAGGCCAATGTTGTATACTTTGAAATTAAAAGCCATACATTCTACCTGTTTGCAATAAAATGAACTAAATAATGAACTTTATCGAATGAACGTTGGACTCTGGGCGATTAAGATATAAAAAAAATGTGTAGGTGGAAAGAAATAGTCTACTTACAAATGGCATTTATAGTCAATATGAGTACTAAGTGGAAACTTAGAAACTCAGCACAAAGCTCTTGCTCTGAATGCCTTTCTTTTCCATTGTAGTGAACAGCGACCTGACATGCACAGATGATTCGGAATCGTCCACTATGACTTCAGATATTTCGTACTGATTTCAATTACCATGCTGTAAAACAATCGTTGAGCTTTCCTTGAGGTCAATGGGGTGAGGGATGATAACAAGGATGTCAAGAAGTAATTCTGATGAAAAAGAGACAGTGTAAACATATAAATATATATAGCTGCCCAGAAATAAAATAGACTTGCCTGTTTACCGTATGTCCGTCCTTAATCTTTGTTTTTTTTATTTGATACACTGGAACACTCGACAATAAACCCTCAGACAGAATCGACTTGGAGAAACTGATTTCGTGGCGTGGCTCCACTATATCTCTGATTGAAATGTGGTTAAAATTATTAAAACTATTTACACACACACACCTTCCTACTCCTTCAGCAGTTAACTAAATAGTACGGGTATGCCAGTCTGCGTATCGTGTTTCCATTCATACACCGTGCACTACAATCGGGAACCGTCGGCACTTTCCGTAAACGATAAAAACGTAAACGTTTACGGAGAGTGCCGACGGTTCCCGATTGCGTGCCGTTTCCCCATGGTAGTCTATATTTGTAAGTATGCGCTTGTGATAGCTGTTTTCATTAATTGAGTCTGTTAATTTAGTTTTGAAAATTCCCCATAAGTTGTTAGCATCTTATGTTAAGTATGCGTTTGTGATAGCTGTTTGAATGGTTACGAGGTCTGATGTGTTATATTTAAAATCCTATATTTATTATGCAGTATATCAACAAAATGAATGGTAGGTGGTCCCTTGACCATGCCTATTTCCCTCGGCTTCGCCTCGGGAAATAGACCTGGTCTCGGGACACCAACAACTTGCTATATCCCTCAACCCCATACAATTTACAAATTAAACGAGTATTACATAGTAATATGAAGTTTGATTATAAGTCTATCAAATCAACTTAATACTGGGGGATTAGATGAGATGACGTAGGTGGTCACGTGGTGAGTTTTGAAAGTACATATCGTTGAATACATTATGTAACTAGTCAGAAAATAGTCATCCTAGCATGGAATCAATGTTAGCATCTATGGCCAGAATTTTCTGAGTAGATAAGTCAATCATTTGGGCGTGGTGAAAAGGGGTGGGCATCTAATCCCTCAGTATTAAGTTGATTTGATAGAATTATAATCAAACTTCATATTACTATGTAATACTCGTTTAATTTGTAAATTGTATCAAATCAACATACTGAGAGATTACATGAGATTTTAGAGATAATGTATTCATCGATAAATAAAACCATAAAACCAGATCTGTAAGTCAGGCAGCAATGTTTGTTGCCTTGGATTACATATGCATGCATATACATAAAAAACACTGTCTCAATCAATACAACTCTTTTAATATGCAGTAAAACCAGTTTGCATTTGTCTAAATGTATAACTATGTAATAGCTGATAGCCTCACTTATACTACATATCCTGCTGACTGTCTTATAACTCTATAATTTAAATAATGACATTTAAACATTGTTTAATACACCATTACTAAATGAGGCACCATGATCCTGTGAATCTATCACTGTGTCTTTCCTATAGAATCTTTGAAATGTTGTAGCATTAGACCACCCGGCTGTTTTAAGAATTGTGTCCAATGGCACACCAGCCCGCAGGGCAGCACGAGCACCAGCAGCTCTAGTAGAATGTGCAGTAAACTTTTGAGTGTTCACTCCCGCAAACCGCATCATATTCTTAATCCATCTACTGATGGTATCCCGGCTAACTGCTTTGTGCGGTTTCATGGTACTGATAAACAGCCTGGTTCCTACACGAATATCCTTGGTTGCTAAGAGATATGCCTCTAGAGTTCTGACTATACAGAGACAAGGCTTGTCATATGCTGGTAGAGATATATTTTGTAAATGTCTACCCGGTTTACTTGTTTTTAACAAAGAAGAATACCTAATAACTACACTTGTTCTACTTTCTACTATACTAATATCATCTACTGCTAACAAATGTAAAGATTGTCCTCTCTGGCTACTTAGCAAAACCAATAATGTGACAGTTTTTTCAGTCAGTTGTTTCAATGTTAAACAGTCTAATGGATACAAAGTTTTCATAAAATTAAGTACTACTGCCACATCCCATGTTTCACAAGTCTTTGGTAGTACAGGTCTTGTTGCAAACACACCCTTCACATATCGTTGCACTAATATGTTTTCACCAATGTGACTATGGCCAGTAAGTCCACATAATGAGGAAATAGCAGAACGGGCTGTGTTTATGGCACTATATCCCAGATGTCTTTCAAACAGCTGGTGCAAGAAATTGATCACCTGATTTATAGGTGGATCAAAGAGATCACTTTGTTGCAGCTCACAAAATAGCACCCACTGCTTGATAATTGTCCAATATTGTCTTTTTGTGGTCTGACGCCAAGATGCTGCGATGACTGTAATAGCGTTTTCCGATAATCCTCTGTCAGCGAGCAATTTCCTGATAACCGGAAACAACCCAGTCTCAATTTTTGTAATGGATGATGTCGAATGGGCTGCGTCGGCATCACTAATGTCTGCTGATTCTTGGGAATGAGAAAAGATTGTTCCACTATCATCCGGAGGAGCAGAGGGAACCACGACTGTGTTGGCCACACTGGTGCCACAAACACCACTTCCGCTCTGTCTGTTAATACTTTTTTCAGGACCTCTGCCATCAAACTGAAAGGAGGAAACATATAAAATACATGTAAATCGCTTGACCAGTCTATAGAAAAAGCGTCGACAGCACAAGCATTCGGATCTGGTAAATATGATATATATTGAGGGGTTGATTGTTCACCCTTGAAGCAAATAAGTCAGTTGAATTGACCAAATCAAACTGTTGACTGATTAAGTCAAAGATATTGGGGTTTAACATCCACTCCAGGTCATCGTTTAATTTGCGAGAAAGTCTATCTGCCTGAACATTGTCTTTCCCTGGTATGTGCGATGCACTAATCCATATATTGCGATACACAGCCCAAGCCCATAGCTGTTGCGTCAGTTTGTTTAATTGCACACGCCTACCACCCATTTTGTTGATATACTGCATGGCTACCATATTGTCTATATAAATATGTACATGAATGTCAGACTTGTCATTGCAAAGACATTGCAAAGTCAGTAAGACTGCCTTTAGTTCTAAATAATTGATGTGGTAGGTTTGTTCTTCATATGACCAATGTCCTCCAGTTTTCCTATCCGAACATTTTTGTAGTCCGCCCCATCCTTTAATTGAACTATCAGTTTCTAAAAACAGATTCGGTTGAGGAACCGATATGGTCCTGCTGCTTGACTCGACATTATTTATCCCCCACTGTAATTCTAATAAAGTGTCATTTGACAACAGAAACCTTGCGTTGTAATTGCCAGCATTACATTTTAACACGCTGTCTTTCTCTATTTCTAGGAACTTGTAGTGTAATGGGGCATATAACACTCCTAGTTCTGAAGCCACCATTTTTCCTTTCACCTGTGAAAAGTCGCGTATGGTCACTTCACGTTTCCGCGTTAGCTTCTCACACATGATTTTCAAGTCAGAAGCCTTTTCAGGTAACAAAGACACACGCATCAATTTAGAATCTAACAGAAACCCTAAAAAAGAAATCTTCTGGACTGGAATCAGGACAGACTTATCCGGGTGAATGGTAAAACCCAACTGGTCTAAAAGTGTTACTGTCTGGTCACGTTTTCCAAACAATCAGCATAAGAATCGCCCTGTAGTAAGCTGTCATCTATGTAGGGAACGTTTAGATGTCCTAGTTGATGAAGCGTTGCAAAAACTGGTTTTAACAATTTTGTGAAGACTCTGGGGGCTGAAGTCAAACCGTTTGGAAGACACGTAAATTGAAAACACTGATTTTTCCATAAAAAGCGTAAATACGGTCTACAACTGGAATGAACGTTAACCGAATAGTACGCATCTTTCATGTCCACTTAGGCAAACCAGCAATCTGGCTTAATCATACATATTGCGTGTCTAAGAATGTAATACTTCTGGGCAGTTGGTGTTGTTGTTGTGGAATTGATTCAAATTCAATTTTATATCCTTTCACCACATCTAAAATCCAGTTGTCTGATATTATGTTTTCCCAATTGTGAAAATTATGTTTGATTTTCCCCCCAGAAAAGTTGTCTGGAGTGTTCACTAAATGCACTTCACAGTCAATGTCGTTCAGGTCTGTACCTGTACTTACCGGTACACAAGTATCTTTCCCCGGTATTGGAGGCAGTATTACTGTTTACGATATGGTCGACTGAACCTTCCCCGGCCTCTGGACAAAAAATTGTCACCTCCTTGAGTGTTGGTGTTGTGTCCATATTGTTGCTGACGGGAACTTGATGTGGGATACCTAGGGCTGAAGGGAATTGCCCGATTACTATATCCACTATGTCCTCAGCCTCTATTCCCATACGGCATGACTAATGTGTATGGATGACCAGCATATTGATGTCCGTGATGAGCTTTGTGTTGAAGTTTCTGACCCAACTTCTGGGTAGTATCCATCTGCTTCAGCTGAACCTCCAAATCATCACCGAGAAGGTTTTTGGTAACAGGCTTGTCATCATTGCACAAAGCTTTGTAGCATGGACGTAGGTCCGGCCTTAGAAGATATCTTCTTCTATATGATATGTCCGTGAAGGTAATCTGGAGAAGCTTGAATGTATCGTTTGCAAGTTTCAAGCATTCTTTTGTTGCTGTAGGATCAAGGCCTTTCCCTGATTTTGAACCCGACAATAGTTTGTCCAACAGTTGAGTGGTAGGGAATATGGCCTTCAAAAGGTAATTCTGTGACCTTTGGAGTTTTGCGTCCGTATCCTGCGTTTTCTTACGCAAAGTTGGCCAAACTTTCGTGTTCACTCTGGGTACCACGAAATTATCACAATTTTCTGGTCGAAAATATTGTCCTACAAGTGTTTTAGTCTTGTCATCAGCGACTCGTGCTTGAAAATTGCCATTAATAATTTGTGCGAGGTCCGAACTGACTGCAGGGCCACACTTGTCCTGTGAAGAGATTCCAGCGGATCTTCGCCATCCTCCTCACCGAGGTCTACCTCGTGTTCTGTCGACACCGCTGATTCAATCAGCTCCTCAAGCACATCCGTAAAATCATTCGGAGTTTGATCGTTATTAGTCACAGATTCGCCTGTACTCACGGCAGATGGACCTACGCGGTCCATTCCCGATAACGCCGACATTAAAAGTCTGTTTTGTTCAATCAAAACCTTGAGAGTACTAGTCTCATGTATTGACATGGGCGCCGCCATATTGGCTGTCACATTCTCGCGAGATCTCTCCGAAACCTCGGGCACTTCCTCATTTGCATATGAAGGGGAAGATGAAGGAATAGAAACAAAATGGC